CCACGGGCAGGAGGGACGGAAGGCTTCCTGAAGGAGGCGGCACTCCAGGAGTCCCGAGTCACAGGAACTCGCTTGGCTGAAGGGATGGGGAGGCGTCTGGCATCTCGCACACAGAGGTGGCACAAAGGCAGTGAGGGAAAGGGAGCGAGGCCTGACCTGTGTGTGTGGCTGGAACCCCTGAGGGAAAGGCAGGGGCCAGTGAAAGAGCTCATGTGTCGGCAGGGGGGCAGGGGGGCAGGGGGGCGGCAGGGGGCGGCAGGGGGGCAGTGGGGGGCAGGGGGGCAGGGGGGGAAGGGGGCGGCAGGGGGGCACGGGGGCAGGGGGCGGCAGGGGGGCACGGGGGCGGCAGGGGGGCACGGGGGCGGCAGGGGGGCACGGGGGCGGCAGGGGGGCAGGAGGGGCAGGGGGCGGTGAGGCGGGACGGGGGCAGGGGGCAGCAGGGGGGCAGGAGGGGCAGGGGGCGGCAGGGGGGCAGGGGCGGCAGGGGGAGGCAGGAGGCGGCAGGGGGCCAAGGCAGGGAGCACCAAGCCCAGTGTCTGCCCTTGACCGCCTTGCACTCCAGCCAAGCACACGGCTCGTTCTAATAGGTGGACCTAATGGTCACAGGAAAGAGCAGGGCCTTCTCTTCCAGGCTGCCCGCCATCCCTCCACACCAAGGGAGGAATAATTCACGCCCAAGTATAATCAGTTGCAGACAAAGTGGTGTCACCAATTTTTGACTCTAAACAAATCTGACAGAAAATAAAGCAATAATCAAATAAGAACCCAGTAAATTCTGTACAAAGTGTGGTATTAAAAGTTCAAACGCATGTGGAGCTTCCTATCAGGCTGGGACACAGGAAAATAGCGGTGGGACAGTCAGGGACCATTAGGCACCACGCCACGTGGCTTGAGGACAGTGTCCACCTAACCGTGTTCTTTGGTCAGCCAGCTCCGAACCGGGGTCATTCTGACACTGTGCTCTCCCTCACAGCCCCTGGCCCTAAAGGTCCCGTAAGGAGCTAGCACACACATGTGCACACATAAACACGTGTGCATGGATGCACACACGTATACACGTATACACACATGCACACGTACAAATGCACGTGCACACACACGCCCACCACTCCTTGTGAGTCTCCATTCTCCCTCATCCCACGGTCAATACTCTTGTTCACTGGCCTTTCTAGCACTTTCCAAAAGCCTTATAAGTTAACACCAGGCCTAAGACACAGCCTCCCTCCCCAGGAAGGAATGATCCTGTCAGTTGGAAGAACGTCTTTGTGACCTTCTGGGGGACCGCGCCTGCAGGTGGCCAGGGTGAAGCCCCGCCACGTCCCCTGTGACTTTCCAGGGGCCGCGCGTGCAGGTGGCCACGGTGAAGCCCCGCCACGTCCCCTGTGACCTTCCGGGGGGCCGCGCGTGCAGGTGGCCACGGTGAAGCCCCGCCACGTCCCCTGTGACCTTCCGGGGGGCCGCGCGTGCAGGTTGCCACAGTGAAGGCCCGCCACGTCCCCTGTGACTTTCCAGGAGGCCGCACGTGCAAGTGGCCATGGTGAAGCCCTGCCACGTCCTAGGAACACCCAGAGGGGCACACTGGTCCCGTCCAGCGTGAGGTCGCAAAGCTGGTCCCTCCACCCGTGGTCCCCCCCAGGGAGCCCCTCCAACAGGCCACTTGTGGGTTAACTTGTCTGAGGAACGAGTGCCCTCTGCTGTCGCACAGAAATGTCCCGACGGAACTGCAGATGCTCCCCTAGGATCAGTCTTAGCTCCAGACTATCAAGTGCACCTTCACAAGCAGAAGTGGAGTCTGGGTCCGTCAGACACGCGGGGTCCCACCACCACCACAGTGCCGGCCATGGTCCCATCCAGAGACGAACGCAAGGTGACATAATGGGGGCCCTGCAGACAGTCACAGCGCAGGCACCAGAGGTGCGCGTGGGGCGAGGCCAGGTGCCCTGCCTACACCTCGGGCAGGAAGGGAAGGGAGGCGGGCACTGAGCTGGTCAGCTTGGCTGGCCCTAAAGTGCACAGGCACCTTCTACCCTTTGTCCCCAGCTAAGCCCTCACGTTCCCCGCTCACCCCTCAGGTCCCCCGCTCACCCCTCAAGGCCCCCGCTCACCCCTCACGGCCCCCGCTCACACTCACGCCCCGCTCACCCCTCACGGCCCCCGCTCACACTCACGCCCCGCTCACCCTCACGCCCCCGCTCACCCTCACGCCCCCGCTCACCCTCACGTGCAGCAGCTGCAGACACTACCCCCTCTCTGGTCTGTGGTTCCAGGCAGTTCAGGAACCCGTGGGAAAGACCCTAGCGGTGACACGGGCTTCCTCAGAGTCCGTGATTCCACTTGGGGGGGGGGGCGGTGAGGGGGGGCGCACACTCCTCAGGGACGGTCCACAGATAGGAAGCCCCCCCGCCCTGATATGCTAGGCGATTACACCCCACTGGGGTCCTTCCTGTGGCATCCATGTCTTGTGGCCAAGCCGTGTCAGGGAAGACACATATTTCCACAAACATCTGTCAGCTCATTGACGAGTGATTATGAAAACAAGCCAGAGAAGCTCCCATGCACAGCACCCCCCCACACACACACAGCTAACCCTCAACAGGCCTCTGCACCTGACCCTGCAATTCTCCCCGTCCCAGCCCCTACCCTAGACGCTGCCCCACGCTGCCACCGACTGACACGGCCACTTGCTCTTTCCAGGGTCCCACCGAGGCAGCGCTCGGCCCACCCTGGCCACTGAGGTCTCTGCAAACAAGCCATGTGACTCTTCACGTGGCCCCAAGCAAGAGAACACACAGGTCCAGAGAAATCACAAGCAGGCACAGAATTCACTTGTGACTTTCCTGAGGGCAGACAATTTGAATTCAAAAATGGCACCCACATCCATCCCTGATCTTGACAGTTCCTCTTTGCCAAGGTCACAGGTGAGGCACTGGGGCTTAATCTCAGCAAGCGCCACATCTCTCTTCGCCACCAGCTCGGGCTGGGCCGGGGCGGGAGTGGGGGGAAGGGACCCATAGGTGCCTTGCTTCCTCCCTGAAGCCTCTGCAGAAAACAGCAGGAGAGAATAAAATCATCCTGCCTGCCCAACGGCACCTGTAAAG